AAGGTAATTAGTCTCATTCAATTGAGAATAAATATTAAACCAGGCAACTAAACTTTAAATTTAATTATGAGTTTTACAATGTCTAAGAGACCTTGAATACACCTTAATTCAGGGTCATATTTTTTAAACAGTTGATTAAAAATAGAGCACCCAGTGAATTACATTTTATGAAAAGAATATGATGAATTATTCTTTTATTGTTTTAGAAATATATTTGTACAAATTCCCAGAAAAAAGGAACTCTTTGTGTTGATTTTCTAATGGCACTGCTTTTTGAAACATAAATGCTTCTAAATCCATAAAAACATTGATTCATTTGGATCACATGTAGATCCCAATCTATATATTGTAGCTTCGTACGGAGGATAGTATTACAGTATAGCAATATCCACATTCCCTTGCCATCCTGCACCAAGGAGGAGTATGCAACCCTACCTGATTGATGCTCAATTTGGCAAATGGAGTAGGGGTGAAAAGAAGAGAGTGCCAAATTTGGGTGGAATCTTTTATAGTCTTACAAGTTTCTGCCAGGGCTCCTGACCTCTTCCATCCACACTGATGGTAGCAGCATGCTCAGACAAGAGCTGCTCCTTCACTCTTGAAGCTCCAATGAGATATCTTAGGGTGTAAAGCAAAACCTGACCCATAGGCTAGGATAGAGCTGCTTCAGTCAATCCACAGTGAATGAGAGGCTAATGTGTATTATTGTAAACAATGAGGCTAGGAGACTATTGGATTCATAACATTCCTATAGCTACAACTTAAAGAAATGAATAACTAGAAGAAGTGTAATGGCAAAAAAAGAATCTAAAATATATATCCAAAGTCTTGAACCCCATGGGCAGGAAGCCTGGAACCTTATTTCAGACTAAAAAAATGACAGGTAAATGCATGGCAAACTGTTTAGCAAAGCCATCAGCCACAGTGAAACAGAAGGAAGAAAATATACTTGATGATAATGGACATATTCACTTTGGATACTGTATGATGATGATGATTTATGGACAAGGAAACTTTGAGATCTGATAGTACAATCAGGAATTGTTTCCAGAAAACAGATGAACTCAGGAAAGAGTTGGCCTATTCACAAGAAAAGATTAAGAAAACAAGGGATATAAATATCTCCAGACTTTCAAGGTTTAGAGATGTAACTGATTCTGATCTTTAGCTTCTCTGGCTTGTAAATGATCCTCAAATTGAGAGAGAGCTGGGAAGAAAGAACAGTTTAAGGCAAGACTGACATACCCTCTGCCAAGAGGTCTGAAGGAATTAACTAGCCCTCCAATACTTTTTAGATCTTTCACAATAAGGAAATATGCGTTAATAACAAAGATCTTTTATATTTTCTTTCAATAAAGTACATCAGTAAAAGAGACCAAGGACATAATCTAGAGTTTTCCGTCAATTGTAAAATATCTCTGGGTCTGTAGACATACTGGGGCATGTTAGTAAATTGAACCAAATACTTTAAAAAATAAATAAATAAAACAAAAAAAAATTTATAGGGGCCAGCATGATGGCCTAGCAAGTAAAGCCTCAGCCTACAACACCAGCATCAAATAGGGGCACCAGTTTGTTTCCCAGATGCTCTACTTCTGATCCAGCTCACTGCAAATGGTCTGGGGAAAACAGTGACGACTTCCCAAGTGTTTGGAACCTGCCTCCATGTGGGATACCCGGATGAAACTCCTGGCTCCTGGCTTTGGACTTATCCAGCTGGGGCTATTGCAGCCAATTGGGGACTGAACCATAATATGGTTCTCTCTCTCCCTGTGCTACTCTCTCCAACTCTGAGTTTCAAATAAATAAATAAACATTTTAAAAGGAAAAAAAAAACAAACTACTTTTAAGAGAGATGCATTACAAAAGGTGTTGTAAAATCAGATGAAAATGGATTGTGTCTGTTAAAGCAATTGCTCTTCTCCAATTTTCTTAGGACAAGAGGTGGACTGAGAGTATAGCTCAGCCAACAAAGAGAGCTCTTTAACACCTCCCTCAGAGGTTATGAAGAAGCATGAAGGAGATGCTTTTCTGAATAGGGTGAGGTCAAAGTGTTGGAGAACAACACACGAGGAGTTAGTTTCAGGACCAGAACTGGAGCCCACACACAATGAAGAGCCTCATCGTATCTACCCAGTGGGATTTCAGAGTGGATCAATGACTATTGTAGGATTCCTATTGTTCCCCTTTTTGAACAGAAACAATTATTGTGGTTGTCATGTTCCTGGCCCACCACAGTGAGTTGGAAATGTGGGGGAAATAACTTTTTTGTTCCAGCTATAGATTTTGAGATCAATGCATCCAGCAGTGATGTAAAGACTAGCATAAGATGCATTGCTCAATAACATTTGTTGTTTACATGAATGAATTGAGTAAAAGTTAATTGCTGTAGTAGGCACACTGTATATTTTGGTCAGAAAAGTTTGCTATACACAATATACTCATTTAGGATATCAGCTCAACAAATATTTTCTGGTGCAATAACAGAGGTAGTGATTTTTTAGGTGCTGGGGACGGAGCAGTCAATAAAACTGGTAAGGCCCATGAGCATAATATTTATAGATCACAAATTTTTCAGCATAATTATGCTTACATTCCCTTCTATGTATGTCTTCAACATGTGATTTTTGTAACATCATCCCTAGTGCTAAAGTCCCTAAAAATATTTCTAAACACACAGAATCCAAGCTAGACTCACCACCTAGTTTAAACATCTGAGGCTTGGATTATTCAAAATGCCATGAAAGATCCGATGTCAGGTCTCCGCTAACTGTTTCCGTGAAGCAGTATTACTCTAAGAGGTTTCCAAACAGAAACCAAACTCATCCTCTCTTCTCTCTGGTTAATCCCCAAAATCTTCAATGCAATTCATCATCAAGTTTTGTCAATTTGCTGATTTTTAACTTCCCATGTCCTCATCACTATTATCCCTACTCTGTTAAAACACTTACCATTTCAAAACCTGCAACAAGAATCTTCTACATGAACCCTGATCCACAAAGCATCTCCAACAAAACCATTCAATTATCTATAAACAGAGCTGACCACACCAGACACATTGATGAAATCCAAGTAGTATTCTCTACCACCTTCTGGATAAGGTCACATGCATTTATACTCATATGACTGGAGGATTCTCCATGAAATGGGTCTTACCTTGATTTTAATCTCGTATGTTCTTTTACCCTCAAATCTTATAGATATTAAATAGATGAAAATTAACATGAGTAGTATGATGATTCCCAAGTACTCTGATCTTAACTGGTGCATTTTCATGCACCATAGCCAAAGTGATCTGACCAAACCAACTTTGCTTCTCAGATATCAACAGAAAACCAAAAAACGAGTAAGATACGGACAAGACATATCTGTGTTACATTTATTTTCTGTCGCATGACTCACTCTTCCTTGACCAGGCATCAATTCAATGAATTCACTCTTAATTAAAAAAGATGAATCACATACTCAATCTTAGAAACTTCAGTCCACAACATTATTTGTTACTTGGAAATAGTAATAACAGTAATGATTGAGGAGAAATCATGTGAGAAAATAATGTTCTTTTATTTACTTCTCCAAGTGCCAATATATGAAAGAAAATATTTATGAAGGGAAATACATAGATTTGACAACTCACTAATTTCCAAATCGCAGATGACTTAGGGCTCGGAGGAACACGGAAGCAGTTATATTGATTATGTAACTATCCAAAACATATCGAAATGGACACAATTTTTTAAGTGTCAGTTTCCTTTTTCTGAATTATCTTGATTGACTACAGCAGGGCTTTTGCAACTTCAGTCTAAAGAAACACTTTTCTGTTGTGTGAGAGAGGAGAGAAGGCTGACCTGTATATTATACTTGTTTATCAGCTTCCTGTTCTTTCTTTACCCTTTAGATGGGGGTACTATGTTCCCCCACAAGTTAGACACCAAACTTGTCTACGATATTGCTAGTTATCCCTTGAGAAAGTGCAAGAAGTTCCCTAGAAACATTACCTTATACTACATTGATCAAACTTTAAAAATTTATGATTTTCCTCTTTCATTTTATCCAGTACACTAGTATCTCTGTGAACTTGAAATCATGACAATTATTGAGCAATTAAAGGAACATCTTTAGTGAAATTGTCTTACAAACCATTCCTCAGCCTAGCTAGAAACAGTAGAAAAACTTCTGTGAACTAAATTCCATGCTGAACAGCATGACAACATAGCCACTTCTGTTGTAGCACTGTATGATAGAAAACACATTTGGTTTTTCTTCTAAGTATGTTATGTTCAGGTATGATTCTCAATCAGCAAATCAGTAGAAACTTTTGGAAAATCAAGTAGTTCTATCAATTTCAGCTTTCTGATAGAGAAAATAAGAAAAATCTACCTGTCCAAGCCACTTGAATATGTAACTGAAAAATCAGTTAATAGATATGGAATTACAGTGTAACTGTAAGTGGTAAAATAGTCCTAAAAGAAAGTTTTCTTAATGGCATTTCTCTAAACCCAGTTTGAAAATGCAGATTCAGATAATCTACTTGGGTAGCATCATTTATTCTAATCTAACCTCTAATTTAAGACACTTTTATAAGAAGATCAAGGAAGGATATGGCAATATTTTACTCTTTTTAAAGTGAAATGATGTAGCAAATATTCCCTGAACCAGTTAAATTTTAATTGCTTGTACATGGGTGATTCTATAGTGCTTTGCTCAGATAAGTGCTTAATAAATAAATGTGGAATTGAATTAACTGAACCAAAAGACATATTTCCTTCTAACAGATCTAGCAGTGTGACAGTTACCAGTTCTATCATGCAAGAATAAATTATGCTGCCTTTAAAGAGCAGCTTCATATGGAATTGATGCAATAAGTTCAGAATAGAACATTCTATATGGATTCATTGTTTCTTTGTTTCCTTTGTGTTCAGTCCAATGCCATGAAGATTGATGGCAATTTTTTATTATTTATTTTTAGGTTCGTAATTTTAAAGCAGCATTTTACTTACCTTACCATGTTTTCTCACATCACCATTCTAAAATTTCTCCATTTTCCAAAGCTCAAATCAATATCTTCCTCTCAACATCTTCTGTATAACCTGAAAATCACATTGATCTTTCTTTTGAATTCTGTTTGATTATTGACTCAACACAATCATAAAACATCCTGCCTTTTATGTTACTATTATCTAAACATCATATGGTTAGCATTTTATAAATGTTGTTCAGCTAGTCGATGTTTGTTAGTTTTGTCTGTCTCTGAAAAGTGTAAGTTCTATAAATGTAAAGAGCACGTCTCACACCTACTTTGCATTCCATGTAGAAGTCTTCTCTCAACAAATATTTGCTGAGTATTTGCAATATGCAAGTCACTGTTCTCAATGCTTTGGGGGATACAAAGATGTGTCAGCAGCAATCCTTATCCACCAGTATTTTAAATGTATAATTGATAAGTGGCCTAAAGCCTCTCTTATAATTGCGTGAATTTGCTCAACTTAGGATATCTTGACATTTTCACTGTAACCTGTTTGTTGTTTGGCCACTGTTGATATTTTTAAGTTGAACATCTATATAAGAATTCAACAGAATCCCTTGAATATCAGAAACTCCTTGATGTGTGATGAACTTCTTGCTTTTACTTTCTCATTACACTCATAATTCTTTTCTAATCAAAAGAATGTCTGTGTATCTGAAGATCTGACCTCGTATAGAAGGCATTTTCTTGCCTTTAAAAATGTCGTCTATTGAATCTGTTATCCTCCTATCCATTAGTTTAAATTCATAACCTCACTTTTCTGCTTTGGTAGCTTCCTCTGCCCACTCCAAGGCTACGTCTATGGCTTCCATTGAAACCATTTTAGAAATCAAAGTCAACAGCTGCCTCCAGGTATAAGAAGACTTCATAAATCCTTAACTTTTGAAGAGCTTATCTTTAATATTCCATAATTGCCATCACAAATCCTACTCATGCTAGAAATTAATGCCCTCAAAGACTAGAAGGTGCCTTTAATAATTCACTTTTGGTTGTCCATGATCTTGATGATTATGCTTTATGCCTATCTATCAGTTTATATATAAATGATTGCATCCTTCTTTTCTAATATTTCTCTGCCATATCACTTTACATTTGAAATACAGGGAATTCATCATAAATAAACTATGTTATAACATACTTTAGCTTTCTACACAAATATACTTGAATAAGTAACTGAGTGTTAACTAGAGGCTAAAACTTTAAAGTGACTTATTACAGAATTGTTTGTAATTTGTACATTTTTTTCTAAAAAATAGAAATTTCAAATTTCTCTTTCTGCACTCAAAATTTTTCTTATCATATACAAGCAAAGCAAACCTCTAACCAATATTTTTTTCATTCAGAAAATTATATACTTAATATCCACAGAATATAAAGCATGCATAATGTTATCTATAAATTGCATGTGTAATTGTGCTGAACAGAAAAGCATGCTAAAAACATCTAACAAACTGATTGAGAAAAAATTAAGATATGTCATTTAAATAACAATTATATATAGTGCAGGAAAGGAGCTTACTGATTTCTGGTACATGTAATCCTTAACATGTGGCAAGCTTTAAATACCAGTTAGTTCATTCTCAGAAGTGAGTTAATACAACCAGTGGCAGTACTGTTGATCACTCTCACTCGATTTCTTCCCCTTCCCTATAACTATTTTAGTTTACATAAAAGTGACATTGGAGCTGGCTCAGTTCTCCAGAAGTACACTTCATCACACATGACAGGGCTTCCATGTGGAGTCCTCCAACACTGTCCGGAAACTGCCTCCCAGGGATCTCATTAAGCACTTTACTGTAGCCGAACACAGTGACAATGACAGTGTTCTAGAAAGAGAGGATACCCTGAGATGCCTGGATTTTTTTAATTATCTAGGTTTGACTATTCAGTACCAGTTTAGATTCCATGAGATAACAAAAATCCTCTCAACAATACTTTCTTTTTCTGAAGTCTACCAGAGTTAGTTTCTTATGCTTTCAGCAACAACAAAAAGAACTACAACAAAATCATTGCTATTAAAATCTCAGTGGAAAAAGACATGTACTTACCATTTTCCCAGAATGCCTCTAACCATTTATCAAGGGAGCATCTCTTTCACTGTACACTTCTAAATACTTGGTAAAATGATTTTAATGTCATTGACAATTTAGTAGGTGAAAATGGCATCTCATTGTGATTTTCATTTTATATCTTTGAATGTTAGGGAGATTGAATGTATTCTCACATATTCTTTGGCCATTTACATTTCTTCCTTTTTAAAATGTCACTTAAAGTTCTTTGCCCATATTTCTATTAGGATGTTCACCTTTTCCATATTGATTTGTAGAAGCTACTAGGAGCATTAACTCCTTGTTTGCTAAAATAATATGAGTTTTTCCAACCTTATGTCACCTCTTGTAATTATTCTGGTACTTCGACAAATAAAATTCTCCTTATTTTAAAAGCAATACAATCTGCCAACTCTGCTTTCATTTTTAAACTTTACATTGACTTGAGCTTTGTACTGAATGCCTTTCCTTTTCCAGAAATTTTTATAAATTTACTTCTTATGCTTAATTCTTTACTTTTAGTAATTTGCATAAGATAGACTTCTAACTCAATGATTTAATAGATTATCTTTTCAAGCTGCCTTTGATAATACAGGAGTATTGGAAAAAGTGTGGAAAATGAAATTAAGGTTTTTTTTGCAAAAAATTATAAAATATATGTTTACAAATGTATGTAAAACTAAATGTTTTCTCTTCTCTGACTTGAAATATCTCTTGTAGTAGATATTTGTGATATTTGCTTTTCACCTTTATCCTTCACTTTTAACTTTCTAAATTTTTTTTATTTGTTTATTTGAAAGGCAGAGAAAAAAAGACAGAGATAGATGGAGAGAAATTTTCTATCTGTAGGTTCATTCCCCAGATGTGTACAACAGCCCAGGAGCCCAGGATGGGACAGACTAAAGCCAGGAATCAGGAATTCAGTACAGGTCTCCCATGTGGGTGGCAGGGACCCGACTATGCGAGTCATAATTTGCTACCTCCCATGGTATATATTAGCAGGAAGCTACAATATGAAACAGGGCTGTACTTGAACCCAGACTCTCAGATACAGTATTCAAGCATCCCAGCATTTTCACTGCTGTGCCAAATGCCTGTCGCTATCCATACTTTTTCCAATAACACTATTACATTAAGTATGTTCTGCTTGGCAGATGTCAGTCATGTAACCAATGAATGAGCCTAGGGCCGACCAATGAATACAATCAATTTTGTGCTGCTTTCCTGAGATTTGAACTCTGGCAAACAGAAAATGGAAAATAATAGGAGTTCATCTATCCCAGCTCTGACTGTGAGGTTGTATATCATGCCACTGTCATGTTCCACATTTGTACTGTTGTAGCTACCAGATTCCATTCCCTATGGAACTTTATTCTCAACAGTTTCCTTTTAATCTCTTGAAATCGCCATGTACTAAATCTCCTATTTTCCTTCATTTATCAAGAGACAGTTGATATTTGTGAAGCCAAAACTTATAAAGACTAATATTTGCATATGAGTAGAAAATGTCTAAAGAAAAATATTCTTATGAGAAAGTCAAATATGTTATATTTTTTATTATTATTATAACTCATGCAGGAAGGGCCAGAAACCCAGCGATGTAGCAGCATACAAGGTGGGGTTATAAACTAAGGCTGCTGGTGGCCAACACACTTTAAGGATATTGCCTGATGCCACTGATATCAGCATCAAAATCTTATGAGAAATTCTTAGTTGGTCCAAAAATCTGAAGCAGTGGGGGAGATGGTCTTTCCAAGGTGAGCCAAGCACAGGACCTCCATAGCAAACACAAAACCTAATTAAGGCAGGCAGCTCAGAAGCCATTCACTACTGGGTCTTACAGAGTATTAGGACTCTTTTGGATTCACTCTCCTGAACAACTATCGTATAGCTCTTCAGGAAAAGCTTCTATGTTAGTGCCATTAAAAGTAAATGGATATGAAAAGAGTCCCTTCAAAATATCTCCAGGTCATACCTAGAAACCTTGAGAACTGCTTAGATATTCTAAACAGTAAGCCTGTGGTTCACCCTTGGATGACTCTGATTAGACTCACATTCTAACGGGAACTACATTCCAACAACCATATAGCGAATAGGAATAGGATTGTAATCTCAATTTAAAACTACCTACTCCACTTAATTATAATTATGATTTGAACACACCTAATTTTGAAATTTCTGCCAAATCCTGTATATTCTGCAGCTTTCCCCAATTCAATTATTGCAATTTATTTCTGCTTGAGTTGGCAAAAAGTCATGATAATTCCTTTGACATCCCTCTCTTTCTTATTCATAGGGTCTATTTCATGCCTTTTTTAAAGGATACTGTCCAACTCTGTGCTGCTAAAACAAGCCCAGCATCTTCCCACTCCAAATTCTTTGCACCTGCTGTCTCTCTGCCTGGAGTGTCTTCTGCTCAAGTACCTGCCTGCTCAGTTCGCTCACTTTCCTGAGGCTTTTATTCCAACATTATCTTCCCTCTAAAGGCTTCCTTGAAACTTTCTTCCTACTTTAATCTCCCTACAGCATGCCACATCCCTTTTATCTGCTTTATTTTTCCTACATAGTGAATTTCACTGCATCTCACACTATTGTCTAACTAGATTATTTTGCACTTCCTATACATATAGATTGTAACTTTTTTTTTTTTTGACTTAAAATTCCAGCACCTAGAACAGTGCCTGGCAAATGGTAAACCCTCAGAAAATCGATGCTGAATGATGAATTAATTGTACTCTTCCAAGTTGGGAAATACTTTTTTAGATCCTCTACCAATATCTTCTTCTTCTTCTTCTTCTTCTTTTTTTTTTTTCAGGCAGAGTTAGACAGTGAGAGAGAGAGAGAGAGAGAGAGAGAGAGAGAGAGAGAGAAAGGTCTTCCTTCTGTTGGTTCACCCCCCAAATGGCTGCCACGGCCAGCACGCTGCGTCGATCTCAACCCAGGAGCCAGGTGCCTCCTTCTGGTCTCCCAAGCGGGTGCAGGGCCCAAGGACTTGGGCCATCCTCCACTGCCTTCC